CTAACGTCAAGGAACAGTTGTCTACAATGACCAAATGTATCACCACCCAGCAAGCACAAGTCAATTAGACCCTTAAAATTACAGAGCAAACAGCTGAGAAGGTGAAAGAAGTGGACGCCACTACTCAAAAGGTGAAGAAAGAGGTACAAAAACTGGAAATGAAGCAAGTCTCCACAGAGGAACAACTTTTACAGCTGCAAATGGAGAAGGCAAACTTGGTTCTCCGATTCCAGGGTGTCCCTGAATCTAAAGGTGAGAATCTGAAGCAAATGCTGAGTGAAGCATTAGCCCCAGTGACAGATTTGACTGTGGAGTACTTGATGAGCGAAATGGATGTGGCCTACAGGTCATATTCCGTATATATAAAAAAGAATAATCTGCCTGGGGAAATAGTAATGAGATTCTCAAAGAGACATGTGAGGGATACTATCCTGAGTGTGACAACGGGGACAACCTTGAAAATTGGGGACAGCACCATCAGGATCCTGAAAGACATCCCATTTGAAATAAGACAAAGGAGAAAGAAATACAAAGATTTAGTCCTTTTTCTTCAAACAAACACAATCAGCTATTGGTGGCTGTATCCAGAGGAAGTAACCTTCAAACTTCAAGATAAAAAGGAAAAGATAGACTTTGTTTCCAAAGCACGGGACTTTTTGAAAATCCAGATGGGTGAGCAAGAGAAAGGCGATAAAGAGGACAGTAAGTCCAGTGGTGAGCTAGACTCGGGGTCTTCTGGAGAGGACTCTCTGTCAGAGAAGGGAGCAGCGGCTCCTAAAAGTCCTTATAAGGATAAGAAGAAATGAAGGCTGAAGGACTCTGTATTGTGCCTTTGAAAAGAGACGATTGTAATGAGATGCTTTGGGGTTTTTCTTTTTAACAGTTAATTTAAGATTCAAAAGTTGTAATAGTAGATCTGACTAAGTTCAAAAAATTGTTAGCGAGTTTAGAACTGACTTTGTACTTAAGAGATTTTGAGGATCTCCTCTCTTGGGATTTTAGATAGTAGTGAATTTTCTTTTCTTTATCCCTAAATTTAGTTCCCTTCCCTCATTTTCGTTGTAGATTTGTAGTCTTTAGAAAATGAAATTTAAAAAATCCCCTTCGGGGGGCCAAAACCCCCCAAACATCCTGACAGCAAGATTCTGCACCAATTGAAGTTTCCAAACACTTTTCAAGGTTGGCCCCATGAAAAGCTCATTGCAGTAATCTATTCTAGGGCTATCAGGCCATGCACCACATTGGACACGTATTTTCTGCCCAGGAAGGTCTGCAGCTGGGTAACCAGTTGAAGCAGGTAAACTGCATACCTGGCCACAGCTGCCACCTGTTTATTCAGCAGTAGGCTTGGGTCCAAGAGTACCCCCAAACCCTGTTCCTTCAAGGGGAGTGCAGCCCCGTCCAGAACAAGTGACACCATAAATCCCAGATCAAATCTTCTGTCCACCAGTAGCATTTTCGTCCGGTTGAGATTAAACTTCAGTTTATTAGCCCACATCCATTCCAAAACTGTCTCCAGGCACTAGTTCAGGGTTCTACAGCCTTCCTGGAATTGGCTGGAAGTACGAAATAGAGCTGAGCATCATAAGCATATTGGTGACAACTCAGCCCATTTGCCCCCCCAGGCGGAATAACAGACAGACAACAGTTTGGAAGTAAACAAGGGCCACTTTATTAACTATTTAACATAACATTGCGGCAAGGGACCAGCTAAGCGAGCACGGAACAGGCAAGGCAGGTGTCACTCCCCTGACTAACCTCCTTGCCTTTTCTCGGGCGAATCAGCCAGCTTTGGTCCAGAGCCATCGGTCTGGCTCATGACCAGCAGCCCAGCAAACTGGTCGCCACCTAGGAGCGCCTACCCCTGAAGCCTTCCAACTTGCAGAGAGGAGCATACCCTAAGAGGTGTACTCCTCTCCAGACAAGCATGTCGGAGCAACTCTCCTCTGGCGGGAGCGGAGCCCGGCAGTTATCTAAGCCGGCTCTGCCCCCCGCCCATGTCACGACGCGAGGCGTCGTGGCTCTGTTGCTGCCCGCCTTCCTCAGGGCGGCAAAACAGCCCCCAGCGACCAGTGGCGTTGCCGGGTCGCCGGGAGCCTCAATCTCCATATGACCTCACCCAACAATTTCATGTAGCTCTTGAAGGTGATAGGGGATAAGATGGAACCTTGTGGGACCCCACAGGTTAAGGGGCTGAGCAGGCATCCTGCAGTATCACCTTGCAAAACTTACTCTCCAGGTACGAACAGAACTACCACAAAATGGTGCCTCCTAGTCCCATCCTGGAAAGGCAGTCCAGAAGGATATGATGATTGATGATATTATATTATTTTCCTTATTTAAAACATTTATTAGCTGCCTTTCTAGTTTACAAGAACTCAGTGTGACTTAAACAATGTAAATAATAACAGCACACATAAAAATCACTAGTTAAAATCAATACAATAAAACTGCCAGTAGATAGAAAAACTAATCAAAGCTGTCATGAATAAACCTTTCTTCTAAAGATCAAAAGTGAGGGGGCCAGGCACACCTCCATGGGGAGGTTGTTCATAACTGTGGCGCTGCCACTGAAAATGTCCTCTCTTGTGTGACCATCAGACAAGCTTCTTTCATTGATGGAGTCAGTCATTAGGGCTTCTCCCTGTGATCTTAATTCCCAGGCCAGATGCCCTGGTCCCAAGCCCACATAGGATTTCAAAGAAACATTGGAAATAATGGAGAATGGGGGCACCTCCTTCTGGGGCCCATAGAATTGGACCTCCTGGTCCAATCTTTTTGAATTGGGGGGGGGTGAGGAGAGGCACCAGCAACTAGGTGACAAATTTCGTGCCTCTACCTCAAAAAACACCTTCCCCAAGCCCCAGATATCCCCGGATCAATTCTCCATTATAGTCTATGGGGCCTATTGACTATAATGGTCCCTATAGGCTACAGTGGAGCCGGAAAAAATGTTGTTGTTTTTGCACACCCCTATTATGCTTTTCAATATGATTTGTAAGCCGCCTGGAGTCACAAAGAAAAGTGGGATATAAATATTTGAACAAATAAGTCGTTCGGGCAGGTTGATAACATTTAAGCAACTTCCTGTTCATTAGGTTAGGCAGGGTTCTGACAGTGATTGTTCTACCTCTGTTATACTTGACCTGTAGCGCTGGTTGTTTATTTCACTTAAAAAAAAAATAGACTGCAAGAGCCCCCGCCCCCCAGTACTGGTATGCTTTCTAAGGGTCAGCACAAGATGATGGTCCAAGGCCAGCTCTACCAATATAGTGGAAAGGGGTGGGTAGACCTGTCCTCTGGAGGCCAGGTCTACCAATATAGGGGAAAGGGGCAGGGAGACCTGTTCTCCAGAGGCCTGGTACACCCCCATACAGGACAACATTTTCTGTAATCATGAAATTTGACTTGATTCTGTTTTTTTTCTTATAAAGTTTAAATTATTCTTAAAATATAGTTTAAAGGAATTCATTCTGAGATTTTTACAACGTTATGGAAATAATCTTCTAAAAACTAATTTACGCAGAAGTCAAAGGTAGACTCGCTCACAACTTTAATACTATTAGCTTTTTCACTCACAAGGTAGAATTTTTGCTCACAACACTGTGGAGCTTAGAGGGAACATAGGCAATCAAATCAGTCTCTGTTCAAAATCGTGACCGAAAGCCTGATTGAAATGGATCCAGAAATTCTGTCTCCTCCAAGAGCCCCTGCAGACAAGAACCAACCACCCACTCTAGCACCTAGTCCAAGAATGGAAGGTTGGAGACTGCTTATTGAAAGCCACTGAGAGGTCCAGGAAAATCAGAGTTGCATTCCTTCTGTTCATCTCCCAATGCAGATCATCCACCAGGGTGACTAGGGCTGTTTATGATGCTGTTTTAATTCCTCCAGTTCCTAGAAATTGGGGAGGGGAGTAGAGGGGAACAACTTAAAGTGTCGGTTGGAAGCAGAATCATGCTGATTATGCTTTCTCTTCCTATGCTTCCCTTTAAGTTGTATATTTCCTACAGGGATGCTGAACTTAGAAGAAATCCTTGCTCAATGAAAAACAGTTGATGAAAAGCTATGCATGCTTGGGGAATGTCAACAATTCTGCCTGCCTGCCATGATGTACCCTTAGGGCACCCATGCATGTTTCAAATTTTATAGGCATTTAGTATTATCTGTATTCTAATACATGAGTCACTGCTCTGTGATACCAGATTGTCCCTAAATTTCCTAGTTTAATAGGGGTAAAACTAGACTTGTATATTGTTGGAATCAGAACTGCTAACAATATATGAGAAAACTGAAGCCATTTTATGCTGAGATTTCTCCAGTATATGTTTTGACTTTTCCGTGTGGTGTGACCAATGCCATATTTATTTGTAGAACTATGAAAGGAAATCCTCAAAAGACATTTTGAAATGCATTGCTGCAAGTGCTTTACTTCCGCTTTTGGCCATCAGTAAAAGTGCTCAGAAGTGTGCTTTAGAAGGTGAGTGTAACGATTCCTTGTTTTAAGAGTGTGTGTGTCTCTTTAAATGTTTGGTTGCAGTGTAGTGAATGCAGAGTAGAGTGATTGAGAGAGACAAGTGTGCTGTGATTGGAGGATGAGAGAGAGTGGGTGGAGTTTTTGTAGTGGATCTGTGTGAGTGTCAGTAGTCAGTTATGTAAGTCAGTTGGATTTGTTCAGTTGGTGTTCAGTCAGTGAGGATTAATGTAGTTCTGTGTGAGATCTCAAAGAGTGGCTGACTCTAACGGAAAGAGTGAATCCTGTTACTGTTCGAACTGAGTGTCAAAACAAACAAAAGTAAAGGAAAAAAGGCTGTGTGTGTGATACATTTGAACAACATATTTATAAGTCCCTTTATCCTAAACAGTTACAGGATAACCAACCTCATATTTTCTTCTTAGTTCAATAAATCACCTTTTGTTTAAGTTATCCCAGAATTGAATCCATTCCTTCCTCAGGACCACTTAGATCCCTGAAAAGCCTAGACCGTGGGTTACTTTACCAGAAAGAAATCCTTAAATTCCTGGTGGCAGCCGAATCTACCCATTTTAATAAAGCAATAAGCACATTTAAAAGGAAAACCAGTCCTCCCTAAAGAGAGGACGCCACAGTGAGCTATTGTGTTGTACTTTCAATTAGTTTCTTAAGTGTGTCATGGGAGGGGGGGGGAGTTAGTTTTCCAGCACTAGGGCAAACAAGACATGAGCTACAAGTTCTGTGATTAGGATCTAAAATATTTTAAAAGGCCAAAAGTTTGAGAAGTTAGGGGATTGGCAGTCGCATGCGGGAAGGTTAGACTGATGCTCCTGATACTATGCATCTGTTCACTGTCCTCTCCCACTTTTTCTCCCATTTCTGCTTCTGTCCTTTAGTCCTGGATCTCTCTGATCTCATTACCTCAGCCCTTATAAGCCATAGTTTTTGTAATTTGTAAAACTCATAAACACGAGGCAAACTAACATCAGATTGTAGACTGATGGTTACATGCTTTGCTAGAGTGACTGGGTTCAAAGTTAAACAGATGACTATAGTTTTACCACCCATCTATTCTATATAAGTTCTGTAATACTGGCCCAAATTGACCAATGCTGTTCTGTGAGAGCATGAGTCATGTATGCCAAGTTTTTTTCCTTGTTGTATATGAACGATCCGTCTACAATGCACGAGCATTTACAGTGTACGTTTATCTCCTCTCACCTGTCTCTCTAGACCCACTACAGTTACTTGGGTGCTGATTTTAGCAAAGCAGTGCCTTTAGAATGCCCTTGAACTTTTATGATACTCAAAGTACAATACTTGTGGAGAATCTTCCAAATCAAATAATGTTGTATTCAGACATTTTTAATTTCTAAACATTTCTGTGTTACTGATTTTAAGAGATAAGCAAGATGTCTAGAGCTGTTTGTAGCCTAAGTGACAGTTTGAGTTTTCAAGGAAAATCTGGAGCTTCTTCTTGACTGCTTATTGGGAAATGGTTGCCAGAAAAGTGAGATATAAATATAAGAAATAATGGGTTAACACTGTCTTTTTAACTGGACAATGGAAATTGTTTACATTTAACGATGTAGTATCTTTAGTTGAATGAGGTTTGAATATAACCTTGTGGCTTGATTTTAATTTAGCTATTTCACATCTTGCTTCATTTAAATAATAGTGCTTTAGTTATATGAACTTCATAAAGGTGACTCACAGGTTACACATAGATTTACCTGATGCAGTCACTTGTGCATTGTGCAGGTATTTTTAATGGAGCAGATTTTTCATTACAGCCAGCCTTGTAGAAAGCTGCTTGGAGCAGATGAAGCGCGTTCATGCACAACTGAACCTAGATTCCTTGAGGCCTGGAAAAGCAGTCCAGAGAAAAAAGGTGAAGAATAAACTCCGCAAGGGCTACATTTAAAAATACAAGCTCTACTGAACAGTTTTGCTTCAGTTATTCTTTGAATTTTCCTGTCTTAGGAATTATCACTGTAGATGGGGGGGGGGCCCTGTTCATTCAATAACTCTTCAGCATTGGCCAGTTTAATTTTTATGCCAACACTCTGTTATATTTCTGTTCAGTTGAGATTATGTCTTTTTATTCTTTCCCCCATTCTTTTTATTTTTTCTCCCATTGCCTTGGGAAAGAAATTTAGCTGAGTGGTGATAAATGGTAGTTCTAGGTACCATTTCCCCCCTCGCCTTCAAGTTGCAGCCAGCCTATGGCAACCTCTTAGCATTTTCAAAGCAAAGGACGTTTAGAGATGGTTTGTCACCTGCCTCTGTGTAGCAACCATAGACTTCCTTGGTGGTCTCCCAGCCAAGTACTAACCAAGGCTGATCCTGCTTAGGTTCTGAGATCAAAAGTGGATAAATAGATGTCTTTTGATAAATGCTGATGAAGAGCCTTGACTCTCAATTATACCTTGGAAATCTTGTTGGTCTCTAAGGTGCTATTGGAGTCAGATCTAGCTATTCATTAAAAGTGTGTACATATATACCCAAATTTAAAATATTCCGTGTATATCTGAAAGGTGTTTATATTATAGGCTGATGCAGGTTTACAGTAATAGTATCTACACATACTGCTGGCCATTGACTCCCTCTTGTGGAGCCAGTAGAACCAGTCTGTTCATTTGTTCATGCTCTGTGCAGTCAGCCCACAGTGACCTGTTCTGCTTACTGATTGCATTACTGTTGTGTTGTTTAGTTGACACAGTATTGTGCTTTAGTCAACTGCTTAACCATTTTCTTACCTGAATGTAATTTGTGAGTTTTATGCAGTGCTTAGGATATATTTTGCCTCTTTGTAAAGTCTCATTGTGACGCATTAATGGTAGATGACAAGTGTTAGCAGAATTGCTTTATTTACAGCAATTGGCAATTTATAAATGGGTTCTTGCCAATGTATACCAAGGTCCTGTTCCCACCAAGGGTTACCAGAGAAGGAGTCGAGGCTGGTGTTGTTAAAATAGATGTCTTTACTTAAAGAATATAAATCTCACACAAACAATACTGATGCACTCACACATTCAATGAAGTTCCTCAGAAATACAGTATTAAAACAAGCACAGTTGCATTAGCAGGTGGGCGTGATGATGGGTGATACTTATCTGTCTTCGCAGCGTTGGTTGTTCCAATGAAGAATGGATGGGAAGAAATAGAAATCTAGGGAAGTTAACACATGACTAGAACCAGCCAGCACGTGTGGGTCTCTTGACTGCAGATCAAGAGATCAAAGTAGAGGCAAGGGTTTGGGTATAGCAAGTGGGACTCAAGGGGAGTAAAAAGCAGACAGGGGTTGTTGCGGGGAATGCTAGCTAGGAAGGGCCAGGTGAATGGTCCCTACCTTTTATAGGTGGTCCATTGGGTGGGAGGTAACTGTTCCAACCTGTGGACCCACCTACCTATTAGTCCGTCCCAAAACTAATCCTATTGGTTGCCTATAGGAGTGGGAGGTTGCCTATAAGGAGTGGTCAATATTGAAATCTAAAACCTTACTCAAGGAAGACATCTGGGCAGGTGTGAAACCTTGGCATCAGGATGCTTCATTGAAGTGTTGATAGCAGCTGGCCATTTCATTGTAAACCAAATGTCCATTTGGCAGGAAATACCAAAGCAGGAACAAAGCATGGATGTGTCCTACGTGATCACAACTAGATCTGCAATGGGGGCTATCTGTTCTCAAAGCTGTTATTTCTTACTGCTCACAATAATGGAGGTGTGTGCTCCTTCACCAGGCTGGTAACTGTGTAACTTAAACCTTATTCACGTGTAAGGCTTGTGCAGGCACCTTCTATGTGTTGCATCACAACAGGTGACTTGAAATGTACAGTTTTCTGAGCCTATGTGTGTGTGTGCACAGTCCATTGTGTGTAGCAATAAATATAGCAACATATCAAGTTCATTCTCTAACACAAGTACTGTTTCTCTCTGTGCCTTTAGGCTCTAACTTTCATGAGTAGTGAATATTGAACCATAGGGAGATATGGGAATTTTAAACACAAGGTCTCAACTTCATGATTGCTTTATAACTTAGGCATAGAGGGTATCTGTTGGGGAGAATATGTGGGAGGGGGAGGTATTTAATCTTTTCCTACCCACAGTTTCTTCCCTACAAATGCAAAGCCAGACCATTTTGAAGGCATTTTTCCCCACTTGAACTCAAATACTGAGGGGAGGGGACAATCAGGATGCTTGCATTTGCCAAGATTAAGTCTAGCCCTTACAATGGTCAAAAATACTAAAACATTTTGCCTAATAGCTCATACATGTTTATATATTTGCATGTTCAATACTCGACGCATCATAATCAATTCATTTCATACCTCTGGATACGGAGCAATGAAATCCAGTTGTACGAATGTGCAGATACTTTCTGGGAAGCATTTCAGACTGTAGAACTCGTCTTTTAAAGACAGTATTTAGCAATTAAATGTAGTTATAGGGATTTTTATGCTTATGCATGGTTTCAGGTCTGTACTAAAAACAAGGGCCCAGTGTTCTTTTTTCTTATTGTTGTTATTATACCTCTGGCAAGGACGATGTTTGTTTTCCTTACCTGAGTTCATCCCCATGCCCCTGCCTGTCTCAGCTCTTTGGAGACCAACCAAAGCCTTTTATTGTCAGCTGGTGCATTTGCTGTGATTGAAAACCTAGCATCCCGTATGGATCCTATATTGTATCTCTGTTCCTTTGTGTGTGACAGATCTGAAATACGTTTCTGTGTTGGATGGACTTATTGAAATTCAATAATCTTTTTCACAGACAGTCAGAATGTCAGCATCTTGAAAGGCAGGGTAGTCAAGCACAATTGGAGTGTCTCTGTGGTAAAAGAAGTCCAGAAGCAAAGAAGAGCTGTATATGTCATATAAACTAGATTCCGCTTCGATATTGACACTACACTTTTTGTTCCACTAGGATGATCACCTCGGCAAAGAATTAAAGCTTGTCATGCAGCTCCTAAGAAACTGTTTCTTTCGAAATGAAGGCTGCAAAGTAAGAAACGGGGGTGGGGATGTCATGCAACATTTGACAGGGTTTGGGGAGGCAATTTCAAAAGATCCATATTAGTAGTTACTTTGAGGTTCTTTGGGAGTGATCCAGTTTGTTCATTTTGGGCGCTCTCCACTCTATTCAAATCAGCCATCTGAATGAGATATGTTTGATGGGGGGCTGTGAATGTCAGTTGGAGTTTTGTTTTGGTATGTTGACTAATCTAGACTGACTTCAGTTTGAGCTGGGTGGCTCAGAACAGTTAGATCAATAATAGGATGCATTTTATAAATCCCATACATAGTTTAGGTTGTGCTACTTAAGACTGGGAAATCCCCCCTCATTAGCATATTCCACTATTGGTTCTTAGCTATCAGTTTTTTTAAATTCTACTTGTAATATTACTTCTGAAACTTGAATTTTTCGGTTTTGTTATGCCTTTCCTTGTTTCTGTCTGGCAGGCAGCAGCCCTTGGAACTCACCTTATCTCTGTTTTGCACTCTATGTGGCCATGGCTTTTAATGGATGATTCGCTGATGCAAACAACTCTGCATTTACTTTGTGTCTACACTGCAAACTATCCTTCAGGTGAAAGAGGGGCTTCTGACATTACTTCCTATAGTCCACTCAGTGGAAACACGATGAGAAAAGAAAATTCTAGATTTGTTTTATATTCTCTATATACCTGCTTCTTATAACTGATACAGTAACTTACATGAACAGTATGTATGAAGGTATCTATCACATATTCACTGATAGTAGGTGCCTCAGGTTTTGCATATAGTCAGCTTTTCTCAGCATTTCAAGGCATAAGTTCCAAATAGTAATAACAGTACAATGTAGCTATTTTGTATCTACGGTCATCTGCTGTCAATGAGTTAAAGTGTTTGTTTCAGTAATAAGATTTCTTAGGAATGCACAGTTGACTGCACCTGAATGGAGAACCAGATAACTAATGTTAACGCAAAGTTCTCTGTCTGCCAGCACCTGTCAACATCAAACCTTGAATTACTGAATACCAGTCAAAAGCATTCTGCATTGTTTCAGCAAAGAAAGTGATTGGAAACTTTCAAACATCTGAGAATATAGATCAAGGAAGTGATATCCCCCTGTGCAGCAGTGTTTGCCATTGTTCTCTCTCATGTGGCTGGCTTGTGAGCTCACTCAGTTTGTAATGCACAAATTCACTGACTTTTTTCCATCCTGCAGGTGAAGAACTCTTAACATTAACCTATAATTAGTATCTAAGAGGTTGATGGTTTTATTTCTATTTATAACATGTGTGAAGGTGTATCTATAATGAGAGCTTTATGGGAAGAGTGACGAATATAGACCCTCAATATTGCTAGTTGTCATGGGATCCAAATGAGTTTTTAATTTTAAAAATAGCATAGCAGAAAGTTGTGTAGGCTTTTTCTCAATATGTATAGCTTCTGAGTTGCCTTACATGTCACTACAGTTAATGATATAAAATATATAATATGTATGAACTTGGATCCAAGAGCAAACATGGGAAAGGTCTACATGTGGATCTAGGGTTTGTGCTTGTCAAACAGCATGTTTCACTTGGCAAATCTCTCTTTAAACTGAAAAGACTTTCAAAAGTAATTTATCATGACACCCAGTGTGAGTTGGGGGAAAATGTCTGCTGTTTAGTTAAAGAAACAAAAACAAATCCCTTAGTGATGTCTACAATACCTGTTTGGATCTAGCCATGTCTGTGGCCCTAATTTGCTACCATTTTAGAATTATGTGAAATGAAATTAATTTACTCAAAGCTAGACACATGAATGGACCTTTCCTTGCAAAACTGGCTCATTGGGGGAAAATAATCCTTTCATGCCACAAGAAGCAAGCATCTTACCTAGGATAAAGGAACAGACATATAATTAATAGCAAGTCTGAGCTTCCCATTTTATTTGTGTGTGTTGCAGTTAACTTATTTGTACTCTCTAAGCGTGTAACCGGTAACAGTGTATAACAGCTAGGGATGGGCAAAAACCGGCTCACAAACTAAAGTTTGTGTCAAATTTTGGCTGGTCCATGGATTGAGAACTGAAGTTTGCGGCAAGTCAACTGGCACAAACTTTCCATGAACTTTCAAGCAGTTTGTGGTGGTTCATGAATGGATAAATTTCCAGACTGTCTCTGCTCAAACAAAATGTTCAAAACAACTTCAAAGCAACAGGGGGACAGAATTCTCCAGCATTGGAAATACCAATAGGTTCCCTGTGTGTTTGATGTGTGTAGCTTGCATTTTTGAACTGCACCTTACATTTTCCCCAAAAGCACATCTTTGGGGGCATCTTCTTTGAGGGGCCATAAATTGGCCATAACTTATGTCCAATTTGCACATAACTTGGAGGGCATGTAGAGGAGCATCAGAGGGAGGTCCCCTGTGAGTTTGATGTCTCTAGCTTGCACAGGTCCATTCTATACTCTTCTAAACCTCCTGAACTTGCACCTGTCATTTCTGCAGAAAGCAGTTTCCTGGTGGCACCTCCAATTCTCACCAAACTTGGAGGGCAGGTAGAGGAGAGTCAGCTGAAACTCTCCTGCAAGTTTAGTGTCTCTAGGATGCTGGGGGGTATTCTACTGCATTATGAATCAAACCAGTTTATTTGGCAGCTAAAAGTTCGTGATGGTTCATGGTTAGCGAATCAGGCGTTCCACAAACCAAACCGTATTTTCACGGTTCATGCCCCATCCCTAGTGACAGCTTTAGGAAATCAAACTTTGGCTACTTTTTCAGATACTGGTCTTTATATAACTAGATCTCCCACACTTGTTGTTAGCTGATCTTAATGCCTTATGTCTTATGTCAAGTGTCTTTGTGGACATAAATAATTACCTCTAATAAATTTTTGTTGATAAAGTAATATATGCATTATCTGAAATGCATATTAGAACATATTGGAACAAAATCTGCCTCTACAAATTATTTGCACTGGTGTTTTATAGAATCCAGTATACTCCCCCTGAACGTGAAAGTTCTCTTTAAGTATCATGAGTGGGTCTGTGCTCCATGGCTATCTTAATCCTGACAGATTTCTTGCAAATAATCGTTGTACAAAGGAATAGCTTTGTTTTGTTCTGTTTTTAAGTTATGATAAAAAGATGAAATTTGAAAGAAATAGAAATAGTAACAATGCTAAGGTTATTTTAAGACATTTTCTGTTTCTTTTTAGTTAATGTTTTGTCAGCCTTTTTTCATGGAATGTGTTAATTCTTAAGTATAGCATTAAGGAAAATAAATATTCTTATACACAAGCACACATCTCATACCTTTCTGGTAAGCTGAACCTGATATTAATGTGCATTTCACAGACTTGAAATTAGTTGTGTGCAAAAAAGCCCAAACCATTATTTTTTCAGGCTAGGGTATACTGCACCCGAAAAATATTGATATTTCCCAATATTCCCAAAGTCCAATACCGGTATGGAAACTGGATTTGGAAAATATTTGGGATTCCTGAATTTTTTCAGGTCCAATGGACCCAAAAAGAAAAATAAGATCAGCTGGGGCAGTGGGAGCTGAGAGCTCCGCACCACCCCAGCCGATCCTGGGCTGGATCCTCTTTGCAGTGCAATTCAAACCTTCTCCTCTCAAGCTCAGTTGGGGCTCTGTGGGGCAGCCCAGTTTAGACCAGACTGCCCAACAGAGTCCACCCAGGAGCTGATCTTGTGGGGAGATTTGTCCCCACAGGCTCTGCTGGGCAGCCCAGTTTATACCAGACTGCCCAACAGAGCAATCCGTGGAGCCAATTGAACAGCCTGGTGTAAACTAGACTGCCCAACAGAGCCACCCCCGTCTTCCATTGTTTCCAATAGAGGGATGAAAAGGGCATTTAAAGGGATCACTGTCCCTTTAAATGCCTTTTGTGAGCCGCAAGTGGACTTGAAGCAGCAAGTTCACCCAAAATTTCACCTTTACCTTCAGGTATCTGGTGATCCCAAAAAAATCCCAAATATTTTTGGGATTTTTTGGGTTTGTCATTTTTGGATAGCCAAATTTGGCTTGGTATAAGTTGAATGCACACCTATCATAGCCCAGCGGGTCTCACAGGCTCCAAGTCCAGGTCACGCAGGCAAGAGCAGGGCAAAGGAATGTTCACATCGTCATCCAAACAGTCCAAGGTCAGTTGTTACAGTCAGAGAGAGTCCAAAAGCAGAGTCAAGCCAGTCCACCAGTCATAGGATTAGAGCAGTTGTGGTCGCAGGATTCACGCGCGAGTCCAACAGTCATAGGATTAGAGCAGTTGTGGTCGCAGGATTCACTGTGAAGTGACGTGTTGCTTTCACAAGTTGGCAACAGCTTACACCCAGCTTTACGTAGCTTTTCCCTAATTAGTTTTATCTGCAGCTGGCAGGTTAGCAGGGCTTCTGTAATGACTCATCTTGTAGCTGTCGACAAGCCATTAATCTTTTACTCTATCTGCGTTCCTGCAATTGTCTTCTGATCTTAGCCCTTCTTCTGGGGGAGTTGTGAGTGCCTCCGGAGGTACTTGCTCCCTGACTTCAGCCACCTCAGTATTATTTGACTGGTACCCCTGAGTGTCTGCTACTCTGAAGTCATCTTTCGCCACAGTGGACTCAGGCTCGGCTTCTGAGGAGTCTTTACACTGAGCTCCAGTTGCCAGTCAGACCGGTCAGGCTGCAAGTCAGACTGTTCCTCACCCATGCTGGGCTCAAGCAGCAAGTCAGAATCTGGCTGCACCTCAGGCTGAGGCTGGTCCACGACAGCACCCCTACTTGAAAAAGATGAGATTTCTTTCTTACATTTATGATAATTTCAATAAAGAACAAAGAAAATGATTTCCTGCCATTTTTGCTCATGCACTTACAATTTCTTGCAAGCATGTGTTGTGAATAAAAGCAGAATCAATAATTTCCATATAAAATGCTTTTCCCTCCTGAATGAAACAATGTCTGATGTATTGTTTCATTCTTTAAGGCTGTAGTCTCCTCTGTCTAGCAAGTGGTTGATCTCCTCATCAGGCAGCCCAGAGAACTGCTGCTGGAAATTCACTAATGCACAGCATTGTGAAGTTAGCAACCCAAACCCCAACTGAAAACAGCGTAATTCAACAGATGACCTTTAATCTTCTGGCTAACCTTGTTGTAGCTCATGACTGCAAGGGCATACTTCAGAAGGTAGGCACATGTATTTTTCTGAACTTTAGAACAAAATTCAAGACTAATTTTTGCATGAAACACATTGCAAAAAACACATTTTTGCATGAAACAAAGTCTTCAGGATACTCAAATTCCTTAATCCGGGCTAGGCTAATGACAATATTAAATTCTAGAATCAAAATGTGAGATGATGATGCAGTCAGTGCTGAAAAGAAGGGGGGGGGATAAGGTGGGATGGCTTTGTTTCAAATTTGGTCAAACTCAGTTTAGCATGTGGGTTGCTCACCAAGCTTAATCCCATGGATCCATTTAGTATATGTGGGCATTTACCTCCAGTGCAAGGATTCTTTTAGTGACACAAAAAGCTGTTCTACTGAGGTCAGTGGAAGACTCCTTGCACAGCCATTAGTGAAACAGTAACCAGCCCGCCATGTTTAGTGTATATAACTGCTACACAAACTCCTTAATAACAAACTTTAATATAGATATTTATCATCTGAAATATCTACAGTGTGTTATTGATTATTAACAAGGATCTATGCCTAATATTGGCATAATTTCAGAAAAGTTTCCAGATACTCTAGTTGTGCATTTATGTGCACTTCCTCACTGCAAGGATGGGTCAAGAATTTTAAGAGCCAATTTTCCTCTTTTCGTATTGGTGGAATTGAGACAAGCATGTAGATATTTGGATAGAATATTGGGCTTTGGTTTTTGGAGGAAGAGGAAGCTTCTGCAGTGCCTGTCTCTTTAAGCCCCCAAAGCAACTGTCATCTGAACGAGCCCGGATGGGATAGGTCCCAGGCTATTCCTTAGCCTTCTCAGAAACAATTCATCTTCTTCCAACAACTGAAGCCCCAAGCCAAGCAGAGTCTTCTTTCAACCAGCCTTACCTGGTATTTTTGACCAAGAACCATTTTCATAATGACCTTTCATAATACTGGTGTGACCCTGATTCATTCCTGAATGGTTATTGTCCATTGAAAGGGAAATGGGATGGTAAGACGGCATCTCACAACACTTTTGACCACTGGATGCAAGGAAATGAAAGGCATGATGACGACAGTAGTAATGAAAATACATGATTGATATGTGATATGAGGGAGAGCTTGTGTTTTATTTCTATGAATTTTTAAACTATATTACTTACAGTTTTAGTAGTGTCAGTTCTTCTTCCTGTGCTCCCTTTCCCATTAATAACTGAATGGAAATTGGGTTCTGCTGAAGCAATAGTGTTTGGTGTTAATGTATATAGAAGGAAAATATATAAGGCAGTCCTATTTTATGAGGATGGCAATCAGCTGCCCAGATATTAAAAGCTTTCAAGAGACTGTAAAACACTTTGTAGAAGAATTCCTGTTCTATATATGTGATAGGATAATTTCTATGTAACGAAATCTGTGATGAAATTGGGTATCGTAGCTAGAAACAAAGCTGTTTATACTCTCCAGTCATTCTGTTTTGAAATCAGTTGTATCATCTATGTCATCTTGTAAATCATCCCTCCTTTCTTTCTTTGTTTTGCTATCTCCTTACTCTGCATAGCTGTCTTATAAAAATTTTGAGCTCTAGAAGTGCCTCTAAGATTGTGGCACTTGATTGCAAATGAGTTTTAGTAGGTGACAGTCTTTTAGGAGAGCAGAGATACAGGTGGAAATGTTGATACTCCAGACAGGCATGTTTTTGTTACCTAATTCAATGTTCATTCAGCATAACAATCATGTGCTCAGTTTCCTGAGCTACTTCTGTTTCTGTGTCACATCACCAGTTCTCCCTGTTCTGTGCTTTAAAACAGAATAATTCATATAATTTGTACATACAGCTCTAGTACATTTAGACATTAATGATATGCACCTTTGGTGTACTTTGTCTTGTGTCAGTGCTGCTTTTGCAGAAAGGTGGGTTTGAGTTCCCTAATATTCAACCCTTGCCCCCAGTCAGTATTGTTACCTTGTAAATGAAATGTGTGGGGTATGCTTTTCTCTAGAAATGACTGGTTTGTTTTGATGCAATAATTCTTTGAGTAGCACAGGGACTTCCTGTGTATGCCTAATGAGTGCTGTCAGAAAGTTTCTCAAAGCCATTCCTCATTAGGACAATTCTCTTTCCTCTCTGAGCTTGTGATCTCTCCCTCTCTTCCAAAGGCAACGGGTGGGAAAAGGCAGATTCTTCCTCTTAGCTATCAAGCAGGAATAGGGGTGGATGCTTTCTGCTTTTTGTCTGGGTAACTTTGTGTTGGCATTGTACATCTTTCTGTGGAGATAACTACTGGTATTGTTCACCATCAACTGCGATTGGACATGTTAAGTCTTGGAAACTGAACATTCTTAATCCTATCGCAGCCTCAACAATCGAGGTAGTAACTCTGTCATCTTGCCAAACACTAAAAAGAAACTTCCTAGACATAAAGGTTCATAAAGAGAATAAGAACAGTAGCATTAAACCTCTGGTATATTGTGAAATAGTAAAAAATAAGTAAATACAAATTGAAAAACAGCAATTATATGCCTAACAGCTATGCAAACTAATGAAAGTGATGCTCAGTTCTTCTGAAATGCATGCAATGGATTTAAATCGGCTGCAAAGAATTTATGTCCAGTTGTCAGGTGAAGGAAAACAGGCTGCTTTCTACACTGTCTTCTCCAACTGCATTTCTAAGAGATATTTTTCCAGTTAAATTGTGAATGACTTAGTCCTTATTTAAATCCCTTATCTGACAGTGTCAAAAAAACCCTGAAGGCGGGGTCTACGGCACAACGATGGCGGACGCCTTTCCCAGCTCTCTGGGAAGGCACACCGCACAGCAGCGGGGGGTAGAGGTGCCGCTGGATCGGCACCCCCACGGGAGTTCGGGGGAGCTCCCAAGCCATAGGGCTTTTGAGGGTGACCCTCTTTTCCTGCTAACTGCAGGGAGATGGAGGCTCCCCTCCGCCCTGATGGTCCCTCTCGCTGACTGCGTCCTCTTAGTGAGGCCACAAGCTATGTTGACCCGATCAAGCACAGGAGATCTGGTGGATGAGCGATTAAGAGCGTGGTCAAGATAAAGACCAACAATGAACTGTGAGTTAAGGAGCGAACTGCGAGTTAAAATGAGTGATTTGTCTTCAGAAGAGAAAATCCTCCCCCCTCCAAAGAAAAAACGTTCTGAGCGATTGGAACGTGCTGATAGAGGGACGCCTCTCAGATGCATTTACATAAACGGAGGAGGGGGGAGAGAGAGAAACTATTGTAAACGGATACTTGAAGCGAAATCCCCCCCTGAAACCCCTTAAGCGATTGGAGAGGGGTGCCACTCTGACGCATTTACATAAACGGAGGAGGAGAGGGGGAGAGAGAGAGACAGCCGTAAAAGGATACTTCTGAAAGACTTTATTTACAAGCGTGCAAGCCTGTTGTGGGAAATATCAATGAGCATTTAAACAGCATATGTGACTTTCAGAGCCGGGAAGAGTTTTTATTGAAAATAAAACATTGAAATGGCAGGCACTCCAAAAAAGATGGCGAAAACGACTCTGAGAAGAAGGGAAGTAGACGTCATTGCACTTGTAGTGGAAGCCACTAAGCCGATTCTGGAGCAACTTGCTGGTATTAACCAGCAGCTTGCCAAGATAAATTAACAATTTGTGTCCCGGCAGCTCCAGTTGGCAACGATAGCAGAAAAACTGGAACTGAGGGCTTTCAAAGCAAAAGAGATGGACACTAAATTAAACAGCGATTTCAATGAGAAAAGGAGAAAAAGCACAAGAGAAACAGGAAAGATTTACAAGGATTTAACTCCTTCCTTGCAAGTGTTCTTAGAAAGTGTCATCTTAAATCCTGCTGAGAAAAAAGAGCTGGAGTTTCCCTTCACAATCAAGAAACCTTTGAGATGCCACTGGGCCCCGAGGACGAGACCAGAGAGGAAGAGGCTTAAGACTGGCGGTTTTATCCCTTTGGATGGAGGAAGACTGGGCTGCAGAATTTGGAGTGAACGTCTAAGAAGCTATTAAGATTTTAGAGAGTTTTAGTATAGATGTAAAGGCGGAAGGACTCTGGAAATTACCTTTATGAAGCGAGTTGGAGGAGATGCTCGGGAAATCTTCTCATAACAAGCAACAAACTAACATATAAGCTTAGAAAGACAGGTCCTTATAAAGTATATTGTTTAACAGCCTTTTTTTTAACTAACGGTAGTTTAACAGGGAATGATCTCCTAACCTTGGGTTTTTAGTTTAGTGTGGGTTGCCTTTCCTTTCTCCCTAATTGTAGTTCCCCTGTCCCTATTTTTTCTTGGTAGTTTTTGTAGTATAAAAACAGAAAATCCCCTCCGGGGGCTTATAATTTTTTTTAAGGAATTATGGTAACAACAAAAAGCTGTGTAATGTCTTTTTATTGTAATCCATCAAAATATCACCAAACAGTATGTGCAAACTTTCAAGATGCCGAGACGTTTTCCTCTTATTCAAAAAAAGATGCTTCAGGGCTCAATGGAAGTACCCCTCTCTGTAGCTTCTAGAACCTAAAATGGAGTACAGAATATATTGCAGACTTAATGGGATTACTTGGGTACAAAACAGATGGGAGAAATGGCTACATTCCCTTGTAGTTAAATTGCTCACTTTTATATTCTCAAAGAGACTGGCAGAGGACGATGGGTTGTTCCATCATGCACTGAAATGTCTTTTTCCCCTTCATCTGTCCTCTTTTTAATGTCAAGAGGTTTGGTTTTTTATAGACCATCCAACCTGATGAAGAGTTCTATGCAACGTGAAAGCTTGCACAGTGTGTTGTGAAATTTTGGTTGGTCCTGATAAAAATGTGTGTGAGTGATGCTGCTGGAATGTAAGCATTGGTGTTGAATTTTTATCATTTTTATTTTTGGAACTTTTATCATTTTATGTTGTCGAAGGATTTCACGGCCGGAGTTCATTAGTTGTAGATCTTCTGGGCTGTATGGCCATGGTCTTGGCATTGTAAGACCTGACGTTTCTCCAGCAGCTGTGACTGGCATCCTCAGAGGTATAACACAGAAAGATGTTTAGCAAACAAAGACTTTTAGCAAACAAAATATGCAGTTTCTGTAAGCCAAGGGTATCAACTGAGCTCAGATTGAAACACTATATTGAAAGAAAGAATCGTTGCTGTATTTTGACAGATAACACAGGAGCTAAAAGATTTTTTAAAAAACCCTTCAGGACAATAGTTCTGTTTTGTTTAATCAAGTTAATTTGTATCAAGAAACTTGTTTCATGGAAGGATTATGGAAAGGTGTTGCTTACTAATAGGGTATATTTTCCTCCTCTCCTATTCCAGAATAACTTTCTACAGAACTTCTTGTCATTACCATTGCCAAAGGGAGGAAATAAAAGCCTTGGTATTCCTGCTGTTGCTTGGTTGAAACTCCTGTTGAACTTATCATTTGGAGAAGATGGGCAGCAAATTATTGTGAAGATGAATGGAAGCTTAGATCAACTTACAGAGATGACCAAGTACAAACACAAAAGTAATCCATATATGGTCCTCCTGATTCTGCACAACATTTGCTTTAGCCCAGCCAACAAAGCCAAGATACTTGCTAATGGTGGGTATTGATTGCTTTGTCTAGTTAGTTGTCATGGTCTAACATTGCTATTTGATTGAAATGTGGGTTGCTGACCATAAAAACTTCACTATTAGTACATTGTTGATTGTATAACAACCATTAATGATTAGATTTTATTTAACATACATGAGTATCACAAACTTAAATTATACATTTTTGAAAATTATGAATATAGAACCGACAAAAATATCTCAGAGGGGGAAACAACATTGACGAGGTATTATAATATATTTAGTTCTTTACAGGACCCGAGGAAGTTCAGTTTAAAGCAGAAGTTCTCAAGCCTTTTGAAGTGGGACCCACTTCTAAAGAAATTCTCCTTGGCATAAAACACAGAAATTTCACGTCAATTAACACAGGGCATGTTTGTATTTCATTTTTCAGGTTTAGCAATTGTAAATATATAGCGTTACTCAGCAAAAAGCTGTGTGAAATGGCCTTGGTAACATTATGCAGAGTCAAAGCCAGATTTATCATTAAAGCTCCCAAAACCACCTTCTATCCCTTTCCACCTTCTTCCTCCCTCCTGGTTTCATGAACCACCTGTGATGGAGTCATGGTCCACTTTGGAGTCCTGATCTACAGTATGAGAACCACTGGCTCAAAATGTTTTTCCAAAGATTTTACAGCAGCCTTCTACGTATACTTGCTAACAGTTCTGAGACCAGAGCACACAAAAGTGAGGAATCCTGCTTTTCCATGCATTTCCAAACATACTTGTCTGAGCTCAGGTATTAGTGGGCTAAGGAATGGTTGGTTGTTGGTTGGCTCAGACTTAAGGTTGTGACACACTGAGAATTTGTCTTCTCTTTTGCCTTAAGAAACTGTGCACTGCCAAGGAAGCTGAGTAGTTGAGACGTCTATAGCCTCAAGTGCCTGTAAGCAACAGTAATGTCATTAGCTAGAGGATTCTTGCACACCAGTTATTCTGTGAACACCCTTTCAGTTTAGTCCATTCTTGAATGCACTTTAATTTTATATTAAGAGTTACCTAAGCTCTTTTCACATTGGCAGGCTTCTGGAGAAAGATGAGATGTATTCAAAACAACACACAGCCATAATCATCTGCACATCCCATAATCTGCTTAGAGCAGTAGTCCTCAATTCAGAGGTCAAGATCTTCAAATTGGTCTCATGAGCTGGTTCCTCCCCCCTACACAGCTGCCAGGTTTCTTCTGCTTTGCCAGGCCTACTGTCTTTTTGCATGCTGAGAAGAGCAGCAGAGTGATATGGCAATGTCAAACAATAGAGGAGGAGGTGCCTTCATGCTGTGAATCTCACCTCGTTCCTCACCAAGGTATACCTCTAGGTGTTTGGCTTGTGTTTTGTGTCTCCAGTTCTTTTGGTCTGCTGCCAGTGACCTTAGCTTTGAAACTGCAATCACAACTCTAGCTCCCCTTTTCCTGTCATATGACTGATTTCATATGACTTCCTGTTATGTGGGTCCTGTATGCAGTTGGTCCTTGGTATGGAACGGTTGAAGACCAATAAAAAAGGAATTGTGAGGTCTATTCTTACGTGATCTCCCAAAGCAGGATCAGCCCTAGCCAGCTTCTCAAGTGTACTGTGAAGGAAGTTGCCATGGAGTGTTGGCAATTTCAAATTCCTCCCCATGCTACCCGTCTTTAACGGGCCTTCTGCTAATAAGTTTTAAGAGGCTTTGTTTTGAAATCTGAAGATGTTGTTGCCTTATTGGGAAAAGCATTTTATTGAGGCTTTCTAGGTTTTCCTGGAAGTCAGACCCAGTTTTGTTCCGCTTCTTCAAGTACCTGCATACTCTATAATAGTGTAGTTTAATCAAATAGATTCATGGATGTTGAAGACTAGAGAGAACATATGAACTCCTAACAGTTTTTACCCCCAGTTACTGCAGTTCTTTGACACCTTTCCTAAACTATAACTATTTAACCATCTGCGGGAGCACAATCGATTTGCTGTATTGAACAAGATGATCAGGAGAGTCTAAGCACAATGGCATCCTAGAGGAACTTTTCGGAGACCAAGCTGGAAAAGAAATGAAAAATAATGGGCTATTAACTCTGTACCTCTTATGCTTTGGAGGTTCATATTGCATTTAGTACGACCAGTATTCTAACCATCTCTGTTCTGCAAGTTTTGTGTCTCATTACTAGCGTACAGTTATCAGTGAGGTATATTTTGCCTATAAAAGTAAGATGCCTGTAATTTCTGGGCATTAAAGGTTAATTCAGATTAAATTTTGCAAGTTCTGTACTGCCATAATATTTATATGATGTGGGAGGGGGAAGATAAATTACCCACAGGAGTGCATTCAAGAAGCAGAGTTTCTGATATCATGGACTTTGTTATGTACACATGTGGTCTTTTGTTTTTTCCCCCTTAGATAAAGTCATTGCGGTGCTGTCTGCTTGCCTGGAAAGTGGTAGCCCTATGGCCCAAAGAATAGGGGCATCTGCACTTTGGGCTTTGCTTCACAATTACCAGAAGGTTAGTGTATCGCAAAAATCCATTTTGAAGATCTGCTCTACCATTTTTGTACAGAAGCTCTGCAAATTTGTTCCTTTACTGTTTATCCATCACACCCCGCCATTAGCATACTCAAACACCACTGTGTTAATTAATACAGAACCAGAAACTTGCAGCCAAATATCTAGCTGGTGAGTCCAAGTCAATATATGTCATTCAGTTGCCCATGCCCACTGCCTCTTGGTTTCTACTGGGAGCTTAGGGCTGCCCAACCCTAACACTGCAGTGATGATGGAGGTGGAATTCTAGGCCTCTTCGAGCCAGTAGTTCTGTATTTCCTTGCTCTTTGTTCCATGCGCCTCATTCCATCGCCTTCTGTATCCCTTTCCTTTGGCCACCATAGCTCTCAGCTATCTAAGCTTCAGTTCCCCTACTTTCTGAAGTCTCTTGCCAATTAGTTTCTGATCCTTAATCCTGCCCACCCATCACCTTCTTCCATATGGCCTATGTGATAATTTAATCTGAACCAAACTGACAGCTGCAGCTTTCTCCCAGAAGCTGGGCTGTGAACCTGTTGTTGCTGGCAGCTTTTTCTCCTGAGAGGTTAGAATGTTTGTGTCATTGCTTAAACAATAGGCGGATTCCCTGCTGTAAGTGCAAGATGGAAAAGATCCAGGTTGACAATCTCATAGGAAACATCTGTTACATATCATTAGCCACTATTTCATGCCAATTAAAACCTCAGCTCAGATGGATGAGCAAGGATGGAGCGTTCTACTACCATTGCTATCCCATACCCACCCGCCCCCACCAAAAAAACTTTCTTACCTATCAGCTATCGCAGAGATCATTGAAAACTCAGCCAAGGTTCTCTTTCTTCTTTATACTTTTTTCTTAGATACTCCCTCATGGCCAGATTTCTGGTCTGAATCTGGTAGCAGTAGATGAGGTTCTTATTATTAATCAAAATGAAAACAGGTTATGGTGCATTTGTGTGTGGGGGGGAACCCACCTCTATTCTTCTTTTACTGTCTGCTTCTTTTTGGGCACTTGGGAAACTAATAATGCATCAAGTAAATTGCTAGTGAATGGCAGCATAATAAATTATCCTGTACTGTGTGTTTTGCATGGCTGGATATACTTGTTCTAGTGTTGTGTATTCGGGGGAAAGCGTGCAGGAGTCTCTCTCATAAGGCATCTTAAGATTCAAAAGCGTGCTTTCTATTACACTGAGTTCTGGGAGATTGTGCCTCTTTATTGCTTTATTTCATTGATCTCCCCCTCCCCTCCAGTATCTGTACTACTCACAGTGGTATCATCACGTGTTGCATTCTTAAGTTTCTGACTGTCATAGTCTTGTGGCTTGCTGCCAATATATAACTGCAGGAAGGAATGATTTTAAGAGCATCAGCACATGGGAATTAATAGAGTCATTGGGTTATTCTTTATTTGTGTTACAGGCAAAAGTGACTTTGAAGAATCCATCAATAAAGAGAAGAATAGATGAAACTTATGCTTCAGTAAAGAAAAGTATGTTTTTAATGGGAAAGTTTAGTTTCCGTCTCTAAGGACTAGAACCTAACAGTCTAATTGTTCTTTGAAGATACCAATAAAATACAACATTGCTAATTACGTTTTAGTTAACAAACATAAAACTTCATAAGCACTGTGCAGCATTTTGAAATACACATGTGCTTTTGGAAAAAAGAAATCCTCTAAGGGAAAACCTTATTTTTTTTATATTGGGTGCTGATTAAAAGTGTTTATGCTGTTTTTCCCCCCCCCCCCCCCCGGCCACCCATGTTGCTTACTTTTTTTTGAGAAAAGACATGGTGTTGGATGAAACTAAGTTTTCACTCCATCCTACCTAAATCATCTCCTTACTAAGTTTTTGTCCATGAAGGTCCCATGATCCTCAGCATAATTGTTAGAAGGACATCCTTCTCTCTTATTTGATCATTGGCAAAGGCTGTTTGGATCTAAGCCATAGCTAGTTTGTTAAGTTTTCCCCCTCCCCCCATAAGATACTTGTTGGTCAGTCATGACCATGTCAAGCTTCAGGCTAAGAACCAAAAGGATTCTTTTTCTGAGCATTGTGACAGGAGTATTCTTTATTCTAGAAATATCCTATGCCAGTATTTATGAACCATGTAACTAGAGATTCTGAAATGATGTTTATTCCTCATTCCGATTTCTTCCTTATAGCATATTTATAAAATGTATATTCTACTTCTTCTCCTAAAAGCCCACGGCACCTAACTGTCAAGGGCCAAAATGGGCCCAGTCTCAGTGCAAATGAGATTTTTCCCACAGGTGAGGGACAGAGAGAGAGAGGAAGTGAGTTCTTGGATGTGGTAGTCATGTTTACTAAGCTCACATGAGGGAAACTCAGAAGTACTTCATTGTATTCCATTCATATACAGCCTTGCCGCCATATATACCTGCCTAGGCTGGCTGATATAATTGAATTGGAGAATCCTGCTAGGTGGTGAAGAGGATTCTGCTCACCCTTGCCTTTAGCTGGTTTTATACTTTATTGTGTCTCAGGGCCTGTGTGGTTTGCATCCTCCTTTCTTCTAGGAATGGGGTTAAACACCCAGATCCAGGTGGGTGCTGCCACACCTTTCTTGGGAAAACAAACTTCTGTTTGGGACAGCCTGGTGAAAACGTCTTTCCCTCTTACCAGAAGGTTGTGATAGGCTGATTTTGGAGACTTCTTCGGGCCTGATGCAGGGGTGCTTTCAGGTTTTTGGCGAGAAATAGCCAATATACCAGTGTAGAAGGGCTGAGGTTGGGGAGGCAATCATATACACAATGTCCATTTGAGTTCCTTGCAAAATTGCTTTTGTAGTTTTTATTCACTGCAAACAATGGAATACACTCTTCTGCTTGCTGTAGCTTGTCTTCACACAGCTTTCAAATGGACACAATCAAACCCAATGTATTCCAAAGAACCAGGCTATATGAGCCAGGGGAATTACTTCTGAGGCCTGATTAATCTTCTGTGCATGGCAAGATATGGGTTAAATCCATCTCTCAAGCTTGGCATAGAGTAAAACTTTCTGGCTAGAGTTAATTACTTTTAAGTTAGGATTTGAACATGGGCCAGAATCTCACTTAATGTGCCCTGTCGTGTGCTCAGCTCATCATTCAGCTTTGGTGAGTTAAGAAATTTGCAGAGTGCCTTCCATGCTGACAGTAGGTTAGGTGTGGAACAAAGTGACCCCTTCGAGCTGGCCATGTGAAAAAGTGTGCAAGATACTTTGAATTTCCCCATAATTTTCTAATGTGTGTTTAACAGTAAAGGAGAATGCATTGGGCTTGTCTTTACTTTCTATATTGCGAAGGTAACTCTGTTATATGTTGGCTTGAGCCCTAGGGATATGGCACATCCCATGTGCAAATCCACATCCAGAGGGAGCAAAAAATGAACTAGTGAGACAGAGAATATTAACTGGGCTAGAGTTTGATCAAAGGGCCAGTTTTTTCTCACTTGCTCAAATTTGTTTTCTAGCATTTATTAAATCAAATTGCTTCAGACCATTGATTATAGAAACTTTGTTCTAGAAAGCTTAGTGAAGCTAAAGACTTAACGACACTTTGTTCCTGATGCTTTTTACAAATGTATCGAAGGTTAGAAAAAGTGACATTGACTTATTAAGGAGTTGTGGCTCTGTTTGTAGAGGAAGTGGTGTCTTCTGTTTATCATCCTTTCCCTTTGTTAAGAGTTAATGTGTTTCCCTCTGTTTTAGCTGTTCTACAGAATCAAGAAAGCCAGCAGGATGTCTATCACTTAAAATGTCTGAAAACCCTAGTGCAGCTTCTCAGTAGTTGACAAAAGCTGTATGACGTTGCATGTTGAAGCAGTCCTGGCTTTGCTGGAGAATACCAGGTCCAAAATGGAGTTTTTAATCCATTTTATAGAGGATAGTTACCACTGAGGAGAATATTCTAACTCTTTGGGATATAGAGGATTCTCTGGAAAAGAACCTACACTGTGTGTGGTGTTCCACTGGAAGTGGAATTATATCATGATGCTGTACAAAGTAAATAGAATTTTAATATATAATGTAAATTGTTTTATGCTTTTTTAAATGATTGAAATTGTATCAATAAACATGATGCGCAACAGTGGTGGTCATCACTTGTAAAAAAAAACCCACAGGGTTTTTCTTACTCCAGGTTCCTTTGAATGCCTGTCTTATAGAGCCCTAATCCACACATGGAGGGGAGAGTCAAAAGTCTGATGCCAGACTGCATAGCTTCATCGCTGTATCTTTACCAAATGAATACTGGAAACTGCACGGATGTATCAGAATGTGGTTTGAGTGGCACTTGAGGGAACAATGTCATAGCATGAAAACTCATTTTAAACCTTGGGAGGAATGATTCAGTTAATATACTGTTGGAAAACTTTATGAAGAGTGGGTGTTTGTTGGGAAGTCATTAGAAGTGCATGTTACAAAAAATTGGAGCCAAAAATATACCTGGAAATCACTGGACGGGGTTGTTAGAGTGGTTTACCAGAATGGAAATAGGAATCTGGCATTCTTGGAAATTATGAACCCTCCCCAAGCAATTAGTTCCCCCACTCAAGTTCGGGTGCCCACCAGAAATGCATCATGCAGTTATGTTTTTATTTGATTCTACTGATTTTCCAGGCAGTCCCAATCAGATTGTTGCAAGGGAGGAGCACAGAGCACTCCCAGCCAATCACCTTTGGAGACAAGCTATAGAGAGTTGCTGTTCTCCTTCACTCCCTTCTTTGTACCTCTTAGTCCAATTTGCTTGAAACATGAGAGTTGTTTAGTGGACAGGCGGTACTAGCTCCACTGGAATTCTGGTATTGTTTTGTTGAAAATCAGCTGAAATGGCTGGTGCCATTTTTCCCTTATAGGAATCAGTAGAGAGAACTGTGCCTACTCCAAAAGGGACCTGCTTTGGAGGTCTGTAAAATTAACCATCTTGGTCCAATTCACTTGAAACGTGAGGGTATAGATTAGAGGAAGGACTATGTTATGCAAATGGTGCCATCAGCAATTACCCCAGATCATCCAATACACTACCCATTGAAAGTAATGGTCTTGATGCACTGTAAACCCCCCCCCCCACACACAGATTTGAATAATAAAATGGTATAAACATAATAAAAGTTACAGGAAAAAATCCACACACACCCCGGACCTGACAGGAAATTATAATTAATTTTTCTTGGTATCAATTCTTTCAACTCAGTATCAAAATCTCCACTGTTTATAATAAATATGTAGGTACTGTATAATAATGAAATATTGTTTAACTGTTAGCATAACTGGAAATGCAGGGTAAGTAACTAGTAGATTTATATAAAAATAACTTCAAAAATTATGCCCATCTAGCATTGTCACTGAAACTAACAGTCCCAGCAAAACATGAGCAATAAGTCCACCTATTTAACTTTGGAGGAATATGTTTAATGTCCTTTGTATAACAAAGACATACCTTTTATCATTGTTTTAAATCATTTATCGCAGCCGCCTCTATGGGAATGAAAATTTCAGAAGTAAATCTTGAGCAGCAAATGAGCTCTCCTCTTAAGTCTATTTGCATCCTCCACTGAGGACCATTGCCAGCTTTAATCAGAACTTTTAAAAATTAAAAACAAGGGTAGCCATCTGATTTAAGAACTATAAAATATAAATGATTGGGTGAGGGGGTGAAATATGGTGCGATTTAGAATGTGCTATAAGTTAACAGCGAACTCCTGCTCCTTCTGCCTCTGGCTTATTCTGTGCTGAGTTTACTCATCTCTTTAAATCAAAATAACTACATACCTCTCGTTGTACACCACTAGGTTTAATTGATGTTTGCAAAGTGCTATGGAGCTCTTGTATAATAGAACCAATGTAATAGTAAAGAGTGTTGTTATTGTTTCATGTAGCAAATGTTGTCCTACTGCTGCCATGTCCAGAAAATGTTGCTTCTGGAGCTCACAGAGGGAAATAGAGAAACATGTGACATTTAACACAGATGTAGCAGGAAATGACATATATTTTTATCCTGCCCTCCCTGCAAGCAGGCTCAGGGCGGCTTACATTACTTGGCACAATGTACCAGGTACATATAAAACAATTAAAACCATTTAAAACAATCAAACCAATTCACAATATACAATTTAAAGTGCTCACAGTATCATTAACTCAAGATGGCGTACCATACAGTGTGGCATCCACATACCCAGCTCAGC